GAGACGCTATCACACCTATTGCACAGTCGGATCCATCGGTTTCAATCCAAGTTGGTCGGGTTCTATCAAAATGTCGCAGTACCGGTGCTGTGGTGAATGTTTTCTTTAGATCGTCAAAAGCCTTTCGGCATATCTGTGTCCAGTTCCAAGCTTGATCCTTGTCACGGCCGTCGAACAACTATTTTCTGGCAGACCGACGGTCGACGAACCTCGGCTAACTTGACGCTTCTGAGTCGATGTCTCACCCAACCGGGAGGGCGCAGACGTCGAAAGGAGTGTAACTACGGCGTACTTCGGCGTAGTTACTCTAACTGGGGTTTTGTCCTACTGATGGCGATGTATCTCGATTTGTATATAGCTATCTCTATCTGTCTTTCACTACTGACAACAATTAAGGATCGCTGAAGAACTTCAGCAATCTTCTCAGCTAATATTATCTATTCCTCCTAGACGTTCATCCAACCCTCTCGCGCTTTGACGTACTTCAACGCACTTCGTCCAACTTCCCCGAGTCCCCGGCCATCCTCTTCCTCCTTCGACTAACTCCGCCTAACATCGCCGCACTTCTGCTCCCATTGTCCCTACCTAGCCTAACTCCGTCTAACTTCGCCGTACTTCTGCTCCCATTGTCCCTACCTAACCTAACTCCGTCTAACTTCGCCGTACTTGGTCTCAGATGTCCTGAGTTACGTGTAGAGTAAGGAGGTTAAGGCATGATGGGGGTTTTGATGGTCAAAGGAGGGTCATTGTTGGTGGAATAATCGAGGTGTCACGACGTAGTTCGTGACAATTCTTCCTGGTTAATCGTGTGAGAGGTCCCACGATATGTGAAAATCCTTTGATAAACTGTCGATAGAAGTTTGCAAAGCCCCAGAACACTTGAGTATCCCGGACTGTCATGGGTTCTCCCCATTCTAGGACAGCTTTCACCTTTTCTTGATCCATTTCAATCCGCTCGTGTCCTATTACATACCCCAGGAACTTTACTTCATTTGAACTCCATTCACATTTCCTCGGACTGACGAATTGATCTAGCACCTTTTGGACGATTATTTGATGGTTCTCAATGGTGTCAGAGTATACCGTGATGTCGTCGATATAAACTACTACTCCTTCGTCCAGTAGACCGTGAAACATGTCCTGTAAAAAGTTCTGAAAGGTGGCTGGTGCATTACACAATCCATCTCTTAGGACTGTGCTCTCAAAACTGCCATATCTTGTCCGTAAGGCAGCTTTATGTTCGTCTCCTTCCTTTATCCTGACTAACTGGTAAGCTCTTTTCAAATTGAGTTTGGTGAAGATCCTTCCTAATTGAAGTCGATCAAGTAGTGTCGAGATGAGTGGCATTGTGTAACGGTACTGGAAACACGATGACTAGGTCGCAGGTTGGGTCGAACTCGATGGATGTCTCGTGGAAATCTAGGGGCTCTGGTGCTAATGGATCGTGTCTCCTCTGCAATCGATGTAGCCAAAGAATGATATTGAAGAATCAGCAAAGTTGGTACTTTGCTGATTGTACTATATACTGTCTACAGGTATCTGTCTCCTCTTCTCAGTCCTACTGCAAGCGTCTATGTACATACTCGGACAGGTGAAAAACCGCTTTGAGCAAACCCAGTGGGAAAATCTCGAAAGGGGAAAACCCGTCCCTACCTACTGCAGCACTGCCTCCAACTCCCGCTTTCCTCTATCCTAATCCGTCGAACTCGATAGAGTTCTCTCGATTCGTTGTTACCCCGTAACACATTGGGTATGACTCCTTGATGGTTACCTTGTTAAGCGCCCCATAATCTGTTACCACTCGATAGGGAATTACCCCCTTTTTGGGAACCAGGAATACAGGAGATCCATAAGGCGATTTACTTCTTTGTAAGTGGCCGCTGGCCAAACCGTCATTGATCCACCGCTTCAGGAATGCGTCCCCATGTTCATCTAGTTGATATATTGGGCCCGGTTTTAGCTCTGCTCCAGGGGTCAATCCGATCTCGTGGTCACATTCTCTTCTTGGTGGTAGTTTCTGGCCCGTTCCACTTTGAATAGCTCCAGCTACTGGTGCCATTGTGTCGGTATGACTTGTCGTAACTCCTCTTCGCTCATTTCATCTTCCCCTTTTTCTAGTGCTGTTCCTCTTACCAAACCTTCCTCCAGTCTTGGATACTTTCAACCATTATCTCGTCCAATTTGGTCGAACTCAATCAGTCCCTTTCCACAATTGATCCTTGCCCTGAACTGTTTCAAGAAATTCAATCCTACCAGTACCTCAGGGCCTTCATACGCCATCACACCCAATCGAGTCGCAATCTTGAGTCCTTTTCCCAAATCCAATTCAGCTTCTACATGTTCGGTCACTAATTTTGCGGTTGTTCCATCAAGGAACCTGATTTTTCATGGTTCCTGGTATTGTTTCTTTGGGAATAGATGGTATAATGGACAGACCGGCTGTACATATCTTCCGGTAGCCCCGGTATCAATTAACATTCCAATCTGTAGGGTATCTTCTTTTGTCTGTATTTTTACGTATATGATAGCCGAGTCATTACTAAGATCTTTTGGTAGCTGAATTCGGTGCCATTCTGTTAGATCCTGGCCGCAAGTGGTTGCATCACTTAGGCCAGGTAGTCGTTTCCCTCCTCTTCAAAGGTCACCGCCATTCCTCAAACTAATGGCCCTTTGGATCCAGTTGGAATCGAGTTCGATCCACTAGGAATTGGTGAGCCATGCGGGTTTGGGGATCCTCTAATATTGTTCCTTGTGTTTCCTCCATTTGGACAATTATTGGTGTAATGTTCTGGACTCCTACACTTGAGGCAGCGTCGGTTCTCCCTTCTCCAATTCATTTTGTTCTCACTGAGGCGTCCTCCATCCTCTGTCCAAGTGACCGGAGGGTCATTTGGTAGACCAAAGTTCATCATCCCTGGTTTTCCACCTGGCAATGGTCCTCTACCATTTGAATGTGAGGTTTGTTGTAAAGGGTTCAAAGGAGTGCTATCCAATCGTGTCGAATTTGATCACGGGGCAAGCCAGGTCGTCTCATTTTTACGCCTAGCAGCCCATCGATTCACTGCAATCATCATTTCAGCCATCCGTTGATTCTCCTTGGTTCCTATCACATGTTGTTCGAAGTAGATCCAATCCGACTTGGTTTGAGGATTGGTGTTATCGACCACTACCACCTTCAGGAGTTCTTCCTTCAGACCCTGTATGGCTGATGCGATCTTCATCGCATCAGGTACTTTCCCAAGATGAGTTGACCATAGTTCAAAGTTTGCAAAGTGTCCAGCTGCAGTGTCGGTCTGTCGTAGTTCCTGTAATTTCCTCATCGCGGTACCCGCCATGTTACTGTCTCCAAATTGTGTTCTTAAGTGTTGAATGAATTCGTTGTATGTCTCTAGCCATTCGGTCGAATTCCATATACTTGGGTTGGTTATGGCCGGGGTTAGGAGCATTTGAGGGGTATCCCGTAGATAATTGTACATATACAGGATCTTCCTGCGATCTGTGGCGTACTCAGCCCCTTTGAATTCGAAGTTCATGTGACATGCTGCAAGGAAGTTGTCCAATTCCCCTCGTTCTCCACTGAAGGTAGGTGGGTCCGCACACCTAGTTCTTCCTATCCGTTCGTTGTTGGTAAGTTTTGGCTCCAAACACGGCTTGTTTTCTTTGATGTCGATTGAAATTGCCCCTTTTGAGGTGGGTAGCTGTTGGTTCTGTCGGTCAGCCTTAATCGTAGCCAGTTCTTCCCTTCATGCATTCCGTTCCTTTTGTTGCATCGTTATGATCGCTAATAGTTGTGACAACTGCTGCGATAATTCATTCAGCGGATCTGAAGTAGTAGTGGTAGGAGTGAGATCATGTGAAATGGTACTTCTCAAAGAACTTGTTGGTATTTCTACCTCTGGGACCAGCCCTTGTTCCCAATCCTCCCTTTCCGGTATCATTTTCCGCGCTTTTCCTCTGGTAAGCATGCAATCCTTTCCACTTCGACCCAAGGCGTGTAAGGCTGATTCTTTAACTTGTAACGGTACTGGAAACACGACGACTAAGTCGCAGGTTGGGTTGAACTTGATGGAAGTCTTGTAGAAGTCTAGGTGTCTCTGGTGCTGATGGATCTTGTCTCCTCTGCAATCGATGTAGCCAAAGAATGATATGGAAGAATCAGCAAAGTTGGTACTTTGCTGATTGTACTATATACTGTCTACAGGTATCCTTGTCCTTGTCCTTGTCCTGCTGCAAGTGTCTACGCACATACTCGGACAGGTGAAAAACCGCTTTTGAGCAAACCCAGTGGGGAAATCTTGAAAAGGGGAAAACCCGTACCCGGAGTTTGACTATTTCCTTTTACCGTCCTCACCACTCTTACAGACATTCACCAAACATACCAGAGCGGCTTGTCTTTTTCCAACTGTCTAAGAAGGCTGGTGTACACACACCACCATGGTAGACATATAGTTGAGCGTATTGAGAAAGGCGTTACGGCGTCGGTGCTGTGAAATGGTTCGGCGCACGGATCGTTGATCTTCCCTCGGCCGCGGACCAAACTTCCTCTACAATGCTGTATACACACGACATGACCTCAGACTGTATTGGGAAGCGATGACCGAAAAGTGTCTCAATGAGGTAGATATTCCTCCCTTCCTCCCCCGTCGCTCTAAGTGAGAGGCTCGATCGAAACTGGGTGACATTGAACGGACGTATGACTTTTTGCTTTGTAATCGAGCCGAATCCCGTTCTAGAAGGGCAAAAAGGATAGCCTTCGGCCTTCTCCCGCCGTAAACCATCTCGGGGGTTTCAAATTATGGTAGTTGACCGGATATCCATAGACACCGCCGGCTCTCCTGGATCCAAATCACGGAGATTCTACTTGAACCACTTTTCCCCTTGATTCTCCAGCCACTGACCGGTCATGGGGATCCGGTTTGAGGGACAGCAAATACTGTTGGAGAATACATTATATATATCCCCTGGAGTACCTGATTGTTTATGATATCTTCTCTCTAATTATGAATAGTAAACACCCAATTAAGAATATTCCTAGGATGCCCAATCAAGAATCAAGCCAAATCTGGAGCCCTTGGGCGGAAGGGGGTTCAATGCACTCAGTTGCTCATTCATTGGATCCTCTGACCCCTAAAGTCTATGAGAGATGGAGTGCGTTGAAGAAGAGCCTCATTGCCAGTATTGCAAACACTGCGAATACCGAGGTAACACGTGCCAGGTTTACCCAAGTAAAACTTACCACCGTTAATGAGAGCATTGATGCCCTTTCTACTTCATTGAACGTGGATCCCATGGATCACTCCCAGGTACAAAGATACCGAAAACAACTCAAAAGTGCTGCTGAAACTCTATTGAACGATGAGTTGGCAGCAATTGCCTTGGATGAAGAGGCAAAGGCCATGTATGATGACTGGTTACAAGCTTTCTGTCAGGACCAGACGTTGAAAATAGTCTGCGTCTATGAGCTATGGCTATAGGGCCTCGTAGGGAACAAACCTAGTGATGTAGTGGATCGAAGAGACTATAAGTCGATGAGATCGAGTGGCAAAAGATTTGCTAAGTGACGAGAAAATACATTCGACAAGACATCTACGAAAAAGGGGTGTTTCTATATACTAAACTGGGAGCGGAGTGATACCGAATCTACGGAGTAAATGTGGAAAGCGATATGGGGTGTAAGAGCGAAGGAAGACGGAGATAGATGAGGGACACGGAGATGAAGAAAAAGTATAGCATGGTAAAGAAGTAACGATTAGGTAGGACAGGAGAACGGAGGACGCCGTAGCGGGATTAGTGAGACGGGGACGGGAACGGGTAGGCGGAGTACGACTTCTGCGTACGACTCTTGAGGAACCCGTCTAGGGGTACCCGTGATCCTGACACTTTCTCTGCCAATTTGGAGCGACATGCCAGGATGGTTGACTGGGTGATCAGTACGGACAGAGAGGCTTTGGAACAGTAGGCGGGATAGATATGTAGGTCTGTCTTTGGCACCTATCAGCTCTCCAAGTTGATAATTGAAAGATGAGAGCGTGCATTCATATTGAGTGAGTCGATAGATACGATGACGTACAACATGCACGATGTTACGCATGATTCATGCGAGATTGCTAGGTATTTTTTCAGGTTTAGATCTTTATGCAGGATAAACAAAACAGAGTGATGTTTTCAGTTTCCGTGGTCATGTAGGTTTTTGGGTTTCCCGCAAGTCCTTGTCATGTTTTGTGAACGGGTACAGTTCAGCTTGCATACTGATAAACAATGTTTTTTCTGTTTCCATGTGTCAATCTTCCTTGTAAGGGAGCGTTGCTGGATATCAGTTCATTTAATGACAGACAGGCATAGGATAGAAAGGTATAGTTTGCTGACGAGTACACTCCCCGGCTGGTTCATGCACAGAGGTTATCTAAATACCTGTTAGGTGCCGCACGGAAGACGTGACCCTTCAGTGACCCTTCAAAGATGCACGGCTAAGATCGTGACATCCTGAAGGTGTGACACTTCAGAGTGGCACGACCCAAAACCCGTGCGCCTCTGAAGCAGCACGGTAGTGCCACTTAGGTTTTTCCGTGTTCTCCTGGAACTTGTCAACACATCCCTCTCTTCCTAAGAAACTAGAAAGTTGATTGTATCACCATGTCCATACATGCCGCCGTATTTAGTGCAGACTATGAGAACGGTTTCCAGCAGTGGCTCATTGATCAGAAATTCAATCATACAATATCAGACGAGGAGTACAACAATTGACAATGGGTTCTTGTTCACCCAAACGAGTCCCCACCGTTTATCACACCACATAATTCATGAATGACTCGTATCCGTCAACAACACAAACTGAGTGAAGATGGGCAAGACATTCTCATGCAACCACTCTCGACTGATGCGTGGTTTAAACTTGTTCCAGTCTTACAGGTACTAGCCAAAATCAAGCATGTACACTGCAATGTGGTGTCACATTCCGGACAGAACAAAACCCGTGCTGAAATACGAGCCCACTATTGAGGAGTGGGCAAGAAGGAAATCAAAGCGGTCATTGATGCTTACAATGTTTGCCAGTTGAGGTGAGTTTAGGCTGCTTACAATAATGCTGATGCCCCAGGGCTATTGTTGTTAGCCAATAGGATCGGCCCAGGACGGTCAAACCACCGTTAGGATTACCCCTTCCGTCGAATATTTCTCGGTTCAACTTATCCTCTGAACTTTATTCAATCGTCTCTGGTTTACTGCGTGTAAGTGGAATGTGATAAGTATAGAGACATGTAGAATTGATGCATGCTCTTTTTCCCCTCTGTATTATCATCTAATTATCAGTAAACAAGTTCAAATGACTTGCGCACAGCTACATTCACCTAGACCAAATTACGGAATGTCCCTGCCAGGCCAGTCCTCCAACGTCTTTGGTATGATAGTCCTGACAAGAGATTGAAGTATAAACTCTGGCCACAGAAACATCAGTGACGCACACACAGTATCACACACAAAAGAGTCCATACAGTATATATCTGTGGAGTAATTTCATGGCTTTGAATATAGTTTGAGGTGAGTTCAAGCCTGGCGCTCTACTTGCTTTGAGGACTTAAGAGAAGATTACTCGCAATTTGTATATGCATGGCCAACAAGACCTGAAAGTGTGTTTAATAAGCTAGTACAGCTTAGCTTTTGACCTGTTATGGCTTCTTGAATGTCTGAAGATCCTTGGGGATCCTTCACTTCCGTATAAAGGATCTGACTTATTAAAACATTGTGACGTAATATCTCATATATTGCTTGGAGCAATAGTCTTGTCCCCCTGACAGGCTCTGGGAGTGAACCATGCTCAAGTCCTTCAATCATCCACGTCCACTTATCCGCATTTTCCCACAAACTGTTCACATATCCTGACTGGTGGTGAATGGGGTGGTGATTGACCCATGCTTCTGCCAGTGAGTATAGGTGTCTACTGACCTTGATGAGGTCGCTCAATTGATCATGAATGTCAGTCTTTACAGTGATTTTGACATGTTCAGTGGAGGTCACGGAAGGTTTGTAAGCCTCATCAGGTTTAGCTTGACTGAGATTGTTGCTAGATGTTGGCAAACTGTCCTGGTCAACCATGAAGACAGGTGACAATTGGGGTGCTGCTGCAAACATTCCGGATGGGAGTTCACCTGAAGTTTGACTGCCTTTGTACCCAGGGTGGAGTAGTGAGCTATGTCTGTTGCTCCAATCTGACAGATGGTACACAGGGTCAAAGTCACTCTTCGTGGTCCCGTTGAAGATATCAAAGCAGCTAAGAAAACTTTGCACTACAAAGCAAATTTCTTCATAATTAGCATGAATCGCCTTTTCACCAAAAGTTTCCCTTGAGGACAGATTGTTTCTTGGATCCTTAGAATAGATGGGGCCAGATGAAGACTTGGGTTGGTTGTGTATCTCGGACATTACGAGGAATCTTGGAAAGCCAGGCACTTCGGAGAACGCACGGATTAGATCGATTTGATGGTAGAAACCAGGATCGAACAGATTGAGAGAGAAGAATGATGATCTTGGTAAGGATGAGGCTTATGACGCTTTGGATCTTCCTGTTTCCCACGTCTACACCGCCACAGAGGGGTTCCACCAGCCGCGGGTCAAATGGACCCGCCCGCTCCACCAGGCCGGGCTTCTCCCGATGATGTCACTGTCATCATCTTCCCAAGCCATCATCTCCCTTCTCCACAACCTCTTCTTCGAGTAATCACGGGAGATGTTGTAGTTTTAGGAATGTCACGTCATGGTACCTCAGTAACATCGAAGCTTTTCATCTTGTCACTCTCTTCAGATGTATCGAATTGTTATTTGAACCAGAGATAGGGACTCATTCCCTCAGCATTGTTAGCCGACAGAATCGGGCCAGGACGGCCGAACCGCCGTTAGAATTACCCCTTCCGTCGAATATCCAGTCGTTCAACTTATCCTCTGAACTTTATTCGATAGTCTCTGGTTTACTGCGTGGAATGTGATAAGTATAGAGACATGTAGAATTGATGCATGCTCTTTCCCCCCTCTGTATTACCATCTAATTATCAGCAAACAAGCATCCACCCTTTTACTTAGGAATAGGATTCACCAGTCTTAAGGGAATATTGTTTGGATAATTCCAATACCACGAGATGGACGGGTTATGAATTTCTATCAAAACCCTACTGTACATAGGATCCTATCCCATCATGTCATTCCCGCAAGAAGTCTTGACCGGCTGTCATAAATCTAGAATCTCGGCCCCAGTACAAGCAGTTTATAAAGGGTCACAGCTCAATTTATGAGCTGAGCATTGGATCTTTTAGCACAAGAGCTTAATGCATGTCACCCTTTAGGCGTATGCATTACACCGGCTCTCTTGAGTAAAGGCAAGGAAATATCAATGATCCTGACTTCTTAGCTTTACAGGCCTTCCCAACAAGTGAAGAAGACCTACTTTCAGGAAGTGATCCCTCCATTGAGTAAGTTGCCCTCGAATTTAGCTTTCTCAAATTATGACTTGTTATGAGCTGACTTTTCCTCTTCAAAATCCACATCTTCTCCATGTTCTGACGCTTGCTCTCTTTGATCTTGGGGAAATCTTCCAAGCCCTTCAGATTATTGATACCATTCTCACATTCTACTTGATTCGCCATATGAGTTCAACGGCAATAAATCAAGACGACTTTGCTACATTACTCCAATCTCTCATGAATGCACAAAGTGGGATGAACAAGACTGCTGTTGTACCGGCTTCCACTAGTTCTGGCTCTAATGCACACGCTCTAGAAGCTCCACTTACACTCTCTACATTTTTGGGGGTTGATACACCTGATGTTGCTAGTTTTATCAACCCCGGTGAGAACGGGAGTCACTTCAACAACTCAATGATTTTTTCACAAACAACTGCTCTTGTGCCCTATCTGTTAGCCGATAGAATCGGGCCAGGACGGCCGAACCGCCGTTAGATAATTACTGTCAGGATCACGGGTACCTATAGACGGGTTTCCCAAGAGTCGTATGCAGAAGTCGTACTCCACCTACCCGTTCCCGTCCCCGTCTCACTAATCCCGCTACGGCGTCCTCCGTTCTCCTGTCCTACCTAATCGTTACTTCTTTACCATGCTATACTTTTTCTTCATCTCCGTGTCCCTCATCTATCTCCGTCTTCCTTCGCTCTTACACCCCATATCGCTTTCCACATTTACTCCGTAGATTCGGTATCACTCCGCTCCCTTTTTAGTATATAGAAACACCCCTTTTTCGTAGATGTCTTGTCGAATGTATTTTTCTCGTCACTTAGCAAATCTTTTGCCACTCGATCTCATCGACTTATAGTCTCTTCGATCCACTACATCACTTGACTATAAACTACATCACTAGGTTTGTTCCCTACGAGGCCCTATAGCCATAGCTCATAGACGCAGACTATTTGCAACGTCTGGTCCTGACAATTACCCCGTCCGTCGGATATTTCTCCGTTCAACTCCTCTGAACTTTATTCGATCGTCTCTGATTTACTGCGTGTGAGTGGAATGTGATAAGTATAGAGACATGTAGAATTGATGCATGCTCTTTTCCCCCTCTGTATTACCATCTAATTATCAGCAAACACTATCACCCACCCCTAAAGACAATCTTAAACCGGATTCATTCCACCAGAGACAGTCTCATTCAAGAATCCACAAAGAGATTCTCCTCAAGTCTAATTCTCTCTTTTGAGACAGTCATGGAGTCCATCAGAAGTCTCGATGAGATCATACAGGCTGATCTGACTTCTCAGCTACTCTATCCACCTGAGTCAGCTCCGGGGAATGTCAAAACCTTGGAATTGTCCAAAAATTGGCTAGAGTTGATTCATACCTTGAGAACAAGGGGTCTTATAAGTACTTGTGATGGTACAAACTTATTTCTGCATGCTGTCCCTGTATTACTTCCTTTCACTGATGTCACAAACTACGTCGTGACACCTCAAATATCCCACCATCAACAACCCTCCTTTGACTATCAAAACCCATATTACGTCTTCGACGGAGATAGGTGATACGCCCATGTGTCCTCTTAATGCGGTAAACGCCGCCTAACCTATCATAACTACCTAGATTCTTCCTGTTGTCTCCTCATCACTCTCAAATAGTGCTGCGAACAACAGGTATGTCCATGCATCACTCTCAAATAGTGCTGAGCGAACAACAGGTGAACGGAACATCCGATTCCGTCGGTCTTAACCTCTTCACCCTACACGTAACCTACGACATGTGAGACCAACTACAACGAAGTACAATGGGAGAATAAGGTATACAGGGGCCTGGAGCATAAGGACGGCGAAGTGCGGCGAAGCTAGGCGGAGTTAGGGGGGACCAGTGTCACAGGGTTGGTTCTTCCTTAACTTCCTACGACTGACGGCCAATAACTTCATGGGCTATGACCCTTAATAGGCTTGTTCTTTGTAGTGTGGGTGGTGACAATAACTTCTGGGTGTAATAACTTTGCGCTCTACTAACTTCCATCACTAAGACAACAACCAGAGACCGTCAAAGATCCCTGGGGACTTCGGCCCTTAAGTACTTTGTTCTTCCCTAACTTCGTCAATGCAGAACTTCGTTCAACCCAAGTCCCCGAGCTTTGTACCTCGCGAACTTCGTCCCCGACGAAGTTTGTACCTCCCTAACTTTGTATCTCACTAACTTTGTATCTCACTAACTTCGTATCTTCCTAACTTCCTACATGACAAACTTCGTCCTTGACGAAGTTAGCCTCCTAATACCCTCGTGGGTGGTGAAGTTCATAAGAACTGGATCGTTGATGGCAAGCTGATGTCCAAAGGAACTCCGTTTGATGGGAAAGGATAATGTCACGCGGCGCCGCGTGACAACCAGGGACAATGGGAGCAGAAGTACGGCAAAGTTAGACGGAGTTGGGCTAAGTAGGGACAGTGGGAACCTGTCACGAACTACGTTGTGACACCCCTAAATCCCACCAACAACAACCCTCCTTTGACCATCAAACCTCCATCAATTCTCGGCCTCTTCGGTTTACCCGTATCCTAGGACATCTTAGACCGACCACGACGAAGTTAGGCGAAGTTAGACAGGTTAAGGGTGAAGGGAACCGAGGTACGACGAGGTTAGGCAAAGTTAGGTTGACTAGGGATGGAGGAAGCAGAGGTACGGCAAAGTTAGACGAGGTTAGAGGATCGGGTGTTTGGTGGTTCGAGGAAGTTGGCCGAAGTGCAGCAAAGTGCGGATGGGTTGGATGAACATCTAGGGGGTGGTGGATACATTTAGCTGAGAAGATCGCTGAAGTTCTTCAGCGATCCTTGATTGTTGTCAGTAGTGAAAGATTGATAGAGATAGCTACCATACAAATGAGATACATCGCCATCAGAGAAAACCCCCCAGATAGAGTAACTACGCCGAAGCTTGCCGTAGTTACATCCCTTTTGACGTCTGCGCCCTCCTGGTTGGGTGAGACATCAAGCTAGAAGCACCAAGTTAGCCGAGGTTCGTCGACCGTCGGTCTATTGGAAAGAAGTTATTCGACGGCCGTGACAGAACCGAAATACGGCAAAGTTAGATAGAGTTAGGCTAAGTAGGGACAATGGGAACAAAAGTACGGCGAAGTTAGACGGAGTTAGGCTTATCAGGGACAATGGGAGCAGAAGTGCGGCGATGTTAGGCGGAGTTAGTCGAAGGGGGAGAAGTATGGCCGGGGACTCAGGGAAGTTGGACGGAGTGCGTTGAAGTACGTCAAAGTGCAAGAGGGTTGGGTGAACGTCTAGGACGAGTAGATAATATCAGCTGAGAAGATTGCTGAAGTTCTTCAGTGATCCTTGATTGTTGTCAGTAGTGGAAGATTGATAGAGATAGCTACAATATAAATCGAGATGCATCGCCATCAGTAAAAACCCCTAGGTAGCATAACTACGCCGATGTACGTCGTAGTTACATTCCTTGCAACGTCTGCGCCCTCCTGGTTGGGTGAGACATCGAGTCTGAAGCACCAAGTTAGCCGAGGTTCGTCAACCGTTGGTCTATGAGGAAGAAGTTATTTGACGGCCGTGACAACTGAGCACTTAATCAAGGAGGTTCAAATAGGGACAAGGTACAAGTGTTCCAAAGAACTGCAGAGAGGGGTTAGGAGGTTTAGGAAAGGTCAATTGTTGTTTGAGGGGACATTAACACCTGCTCAGAGGGTGCTTACACAGAACACAGCTATATCATATATAGCTTCAGGTGTCACTTTGTGATGAACAAGGATGTTTGCTGTGGTTTGCTGATAATAAGATTAAAATACAGAGGGGAAAAGAGGATGCATTGGACCTACATGTCTCTATACTTCACATAGTCCATTCATACGCAGCAAACCAGAGACTAGCAAAAGAAGTTCAGAGGATAATTGATTGAGGGAGAAAAGCAACAGAAGGGAAAATAATCCTACTGACGGTTTGGCCATTGCACGCCACTTCTATCAGCTAACATGTTTCACAGTGAGTGATCAATGTGAACCACCTCTGATCAGGCAGATAACCTGTGTATAATGAAACCACACGAGAGGGATAGATCCTTCGTCTGAATGGATCCTTCCTCCCAAATCCTGGTAACGGAAACCGTCCGACCACCTATCTTCCGTCTACAACTTTGACGATCACGGCAATAGGGGAAGACAACTTGTGATGGTTTTGAGTACTCTTGGTTCATTCCTCTTTTCTTTTCAAATCTCTTATGTGTATCTGAGTTCCATCATCTTTCATGAAGGGGTTCATACCTCCATTGATCAATCTTGAGACTTAAATTAAATACATATCAATCAATCCAATGAATAGTGAAGCCCACTTTCCCCTTCAAAAACTCCATCTTCACCCCTTCCGATCAGATGCTGAACCTTGACCATTTCGAAAACCCTTTGATGGTTCTGAGAGTTATCAACATCAACAATATCAATCACTTCTCATGAATCCCACTGAGAGAAACGATGACGCTTGTACTGTACTGTTAAGATATCTCGGAATTGGAGAATTTTCACCCTTGTCTACTGGAAAGGTGTAAGGACCAGACGTCGGGATAGTCTGCGTCGATGAGCTATGACAATGAGGCCTTGTAGGGAACAAACCCAGTGATGTAGTGTATCGAAGAGATCTGTAAGATCGATGAGATGTATGTCAAATGATATAACTAGGAAAACACAAAATACATTCGACAAGACATTGCTGAGAAAAGACTACGTCTATATACTAAAAAGAGAGCGGGATGATACCAATAAGAGCATGCGTAGTTTGGAATGAAGTCAAGGTAGAATAGGAGAGGAAGAGCAATGATAGTTACCGAGACGGAGATGTAAAAAAGGGTAGAGGTGTCGAAGGAATGGTACCAGGCGTAGTAGCAAACGGAGTAAGCCCGGACGCGGGAATGGAGACGGGGACGGGAATGGAAAAAGAGTACGACTACATGGTAAGGTACCCGTGGTACCGCGTGATCCTGACAGCAGCCTCAGCCTCCGGAGGATCAATCTCCAACAAATCTATTGCCAACCACCAACCTCATGCCGGATCATCCATCAACTGAAAATTCATACACGTCTCAATCAAACGGCAGTTGTCTGGATCAAGAAGCTACAATAACGAAAGCTTCCAAAAGTTTGGCTCTCTTTCTTTGTTGTACCATGGTATCCATCACTTCCCTCATTCAACTTGTCAAAAAAGATCTCAAGACTAGTCAAAGCTGGACTGAATGTATGGATCCCAAATATACCGAGATCTTACAAAGGTCGGAACATTGCCATACTCTGATTCAGAGCTTGACAGCATGGGGTCTGATAGAAGAGCAGATGACACTTTTTGTTGGCCGTTCCGGTATTGTTGCGCTCTACTGATGATCTAATCAGGAAGGTCAAAGAAGAAATGGGGTACATGTCTGTTGATGAATTTGACGCAAGGGTTGAGAGTTATAGGAATAGTCGATGTTTATTTCTGGGAACGTTGAAACTTGCTCAAGTGGCCCTTGGCCGGGAGATGAGAGTGTCAAGTGGAGATCTGGGATTCCTTCTGTGATACTGGTCAAAGAGATCAATGTAATAGACTTAAGATGAGGACGAGGTTGAACATGCACAATTACAGGTTGAAAGAGATACATAATGGACATCATTGGGCCAGATCAAATCATCACTCTCCCCTTTGAAGTCGTATAGCTAATACATTGATCCAAAACACATTTCCTGCCCATCACTCAAACAGAAACCATAGATTGTTTCACCTTTAACCGCTTTGTGTATTGGACGGAGTACCACTGAGACTTTCATCCGAAGGCAGTCGTTTTCGATTACTCGGAGGAGGGGGTATCTTCTCTGTCTTTGGTCTAACGACGTCGGAAGGAGGATTGTGAGGTCGTGATGGTCCTGCGGTAATAGGAGGAGATAAAGTCCAAGAGGGTAATAACTTTCCGAGACCTAGTGCAGATCTAGAATCAGCCTTGAATTTCTTTTCTTCGCTCATCATAATCATCTCTATCCTCCCCTTATCATGTTGTTCCCCTCTTCACGTTGATAGTGTTCCAAAGTCGCCAAAAGCCTCCGTGATCATGTCTTTTACGTCTGCTTTTTGCAACTTTACTCATCCAAAGGCCACTGGGGATCGGATTTGGGATTTGGAGGAGAAACAATCTCGAAGTTCCTCATAGGATTTGGGAAGGAGAGAGGAATGGGACAATAGAGCGATTAATTCACTCACAAATCCAACGTTCCTTCATCTTCAGGAACAGTCCCACCCGCTGCGGCCGAAACAGTCTTAACTAATTGTCCTAAAAACTTTTTGCCTTCTCTTATAGTTTCCGGTGAGAGTAAAGTATTTGTCTGAGCTTGTAAAAGGGCGAAGTAACTTTGATCTGTTTCTTCATTCTCCGTCTTTCCCATCTCCTCAATTTCATCTTGAATACCTTCTCCTGATTTCCGCCTACCATCCAACCCCAAGTCAACTGATTTATCTCGCATTCCCGAACTTTCTCTTTTACCCTCTACTAGAGCTCCAGTTGATAGATGGTGATGATGATCTCTTTGTGGATTGTCTTCCACGGAGGTCCGAGGAGTGAGAGACGTAAATGATACTCTGGTAGTTGATGGAACCGGACTCAAGAATGTAGGTGATACCTTGATAGTCGATGAATTCGGATTGATGAATGTAGGTGATATCTTACTTGTCGATGGATTGGGATTAAGGAATGATAATCCTGACGAGGAAGTTGATTTGATAGAATTTGAATGTTGAGCTTTAGTAGCTATCAAAGTCCATTTCTTTTTCAATCCTTCCAAAGCGGTTTCTTGCATGATGAGTTCTTGTCGAAGTTCTGAAATACGTCGTTCTTTATTTGCTATGAGACGAAGTAAGTCTGCGTGTCTAATTCCATCAGTCGAAATCTCATTGTGATACTTATGTTATCTAATGGACTGGTTGAGAGCATACGCATGTGTACTGAGTTATATGACTTCCCTCTCCCACCCGGTTACAGCTATTCCTCTGGGAAAAAGGGAAGGGTGTGAGGGCGAGGGGGGAGGAGGGGGGGGGGGGGGGAAAAATGGCTCAGGGATACTCAGAAAAGAGGTGTAATAACGTCGAAGAAACGTAGGGTTAAAAATGAAAAAGATCCACTCACTTATCCGTCAATGTCTGTCCTCTAACATCCTCATTCTCTTGAATCCTCTCAAATTGTAATTTAGCCGCGGGACTATAAGAAATACTACTTTTTATACCTTTCCGATGTGCGCTCTTTGGTGTTTTCGGTGTAGAGGGGATATTGAACAATCCTTCTCTCCTCAAATCCAACTCTTTGATATCTCCATCATCATCCATCTTTCCTTTCCCTCTTCCTTTCGAAATCCCCATCTCATCCTCTTCCGAAATCCCGGTGTGTCTATACTCACTAGAAGACGATACCTGACTCATTCCTTTATCCCCCCCAGGTGGCGACATCAAACTCTTCCCTTCCATCCCATTCATGACATCCCCCCCTTCACCATCATTCTCTCTGGATGGGCTGTGATGTAGGGGTGTATGGGTAATTGGGATATGTAAATTCTCTTTATTCTCCCCCTCTCGGATAATAGGATGATCCGATAAAGAAAGTGATATAGGTCTTTTGATCAATGATAATCGTTTGAGTTTTCCTTGTTCTCCCATCACACCAGGTCCTTTATCTGGTTTATCACCAACTTTTGAAGATTCCGATTTCAAACCACTAAGACGAACGAGGTCGAAGGAAGAGTTTTCGTCATTGAGTGAGGAGAAATCTGAATGAAGTGGTAGAGAAAGGTCCATATTGTTTAAAGAGGTAGTTCGTAATATGTATTTCTCTTTCGTCTCGTCGAATCTTGGTATGGGCGGTTTGAACTTGACTCTTTCTCCAGTAGTTTCAGGTTTTGTAGGTACGACTTTGTGTCTCGTTTCAGTGTTCAATTTCGATGGTATGACTTTGTGTCTCGTTTCAGTACTAGTGCTGTGTGTTGTATGTCTGGTATTTTGTCTTACTTCGATGTCTCGGGGTAGAAAAGTAGGTAGATATTGATGGATCATATCTTGTTGATAGGGAGATGCAATGTTGCAAGACGCGACGCGACTGATTTCTTTTAAAACTTTTACTCATGACCAGCCACCACAAGGTTGTCATACTCTACTTGCCCTCATGCTACATAGTTTAAAAGCAAGACTCTAATCCTTCTTGATCTCATACGTGCTTTACTCGTAGTGTTCCTTTCGGCTTCGAGTATACAATGCAGGAAAAAGCTGGAAAAGAAGTGGGAACGTCATCACCCCAGGAGCCTGGGTGAGCTCGTCGGGTCGCCAATCGTTCTTATGAAACATCGATTCTCCTACCTTGCTTCTTATTTGGTCATACCGACGTGAATCTGTCGTCTTGGTAAGAGAAGTCAAGTATGCCCAGATTGGGATCTGAATAATCATAGGTTCGACCACAATGCATACATTACTTACATCTACCCTTCTTGTACATCATCAGACCTCATCGAACTCTCATTCTCCTCTTCACCCTCACCTCCCTCTCTCCGATCTGGTTCTTGATCTCTACTTGATCCACCCACCTGTCCCGTCCCTGTATTACCAGAGGGTACCTCACCCGTCCTAACCTCTGATTCCGTCGGAACCCTTTGAGGTTGCTCCCCCACATTCCCATGAATTTCAGCCCCTCTCGGCTCTACAGGAGCACCATTCCCTACATCCCATCTAGCCCATTGACCTCGGATCCATAAGAGTCCCACGAGCCCGAACCCCAGAGCTAAAATTACCAAACTTTCAACCGTCTCATCAATATCTTCCTCCCATTCTCTTTCTCTTCCTCTCACACGTGGATCTTCTTCCCAATCTACTCTACCTCTTGCTCCATGTCCCTCGTGTCCTTCTCTATCAACATCTTGAGCAGCGGGATCATGATGCCATCCCGAACCGGAAGGATCGAAGTGATCCATATCGTCAAATTCGTCCATTGGTTCCAGTGGATCTGTGGGGGGATCGACAAAGTAATTTTTGAAGGTTTCCCAAGCTGTGACCGCGGGTCGATCGGATTGTTCAAATAGTGATAGACCGGGTGTACGCCCACCGGTTTTTATATCGGTCCACCAGCTGAGATGAGCATTGAACTTTTTCAGATGCTTATACATTTCGAGTCCAAGACTACTCATAAAGAGGATTGATTTAAACAGGTATGAGAAGAGGAAAGGTAAAAAATAATTGGTGGCCAAGATCGATGAGTGGTCAAAGAGGGGCATGAGGGAAAGCAAGTCGGCGGTTAGAACAAAAGGGGAGGAAGTGAAGAAGAGTGACTATGGTTGAAATTCAAAATGGTAAAAGATGTGGGGTATCTGGAAAGACATTTGGCCGTCAAAGCAAATTGAGGGTATGTGGGCAGGTGCGAAATGAGTGGACAAACACGAAACAAATCAAGTAGAACTGAACAACGAACAAACCCACCTTCTCAGATACAACTTCCCCAAACTCAAAACCACAGCCAGATACGCTTCCCCACTAACTTCCAAAGCTAAATCATAATTCCTTTTGGCCAAATGCCAATCTCTGGGTACTCCATGTCCATTCTCATACATGTATCCAAGGTTCCAATAAGCGAGTGAAGAAGTTTGATATTCCGCAGCTGTTGCGTAATACGATAAAGCTCGTTCGTAGTTTTGTGATTTTGGGGTTAGGACAGGATATGTGGCGTTGTTATCTGATTATCAATCTCTGGACATGTTATTTATTTCGGTACGCAAGAGTGTGGATTCGGAGGTATGATGATGAAAAGGAGGATGAGAAAGAGAGAGGGGAAGTGAAGGAGGGAAGAGGGATGAAACGAGGGAGAGGAGGGAGGAAACGAGGGAGGGTAAGAGGAAGAAGAAGAGTTGTGTAATGTACTCACAGAAATAATCTCCAACTTTGACCAAAGCATCAACATTATCTTGTCCCGCACTTCTTAACCATAATCCTAACACTCTTTCTTCTCCTAACTGTATCTTCTCTTCCATTCTACTATTCTTTCTTCGCTTTCCCTCCTCCTGTCCCATCTCATCGTCTCCACCTTCTGAAGTACTCAAACTTTCGTCTTTTGTCATTTCCGAAGTATCCATCAATCCCTCGATTTCAGAAATTGAGTGCTCGCTACCGCCCGCTTCCGTCAAAGGTCGGGTAGATTTATCACCCTTACCACTGACCCACCATCCCTCCCATCCCTTCCCTTTCCATCCCTTATCTAAAACAAAAGCAACATTATTCTGCCCTTGTTCATATCCCATTTCAGCAGCTACCATCCAACCCAACATAGCCTTCTCTTCTTCCCCTCTCATCCAAGCTTTATCAGCTTCTCCCAAGTAATCCCATTCCCAGCTCCCTCTCTCACTTGCCACTTTGGAAAAAGCCATAGCCACCCCACACATACCTTCGAGACCCGCTCGGGCTGTTCGGGCGTGTATGGTGGAGGAAAGTTGGAAGGCTTCGTAAGGTGATCCATGCCTCAAGGCAGCTTCCAGGAATGTGAGGGCTTGTTGATATTCTCCTCGTTCAAGATGGAGTTTACCGAGGGATACTTGTGCTTCAGCGAGGTCTTGAGAGGCGGCGGCTTGGAAGTATCCGTATGCCTTCATGGGATCAGGAGGTAGGGAGAGTCCGTGAAGGTGCATAAGACCAAGGCCGTTGAGGGCTTCTCGGTCGCCCTGAGGTTAGTGACTGTCCAAAACTCCCTCCGCTTGGCTCAAGAATGAAGGTCGATTCAACTGTGTAGCCGATCCGGATATCACATCCCCCCGCCACTGACGCGCATCTTTTCAATACACAGTCCTACTACTCCCCTCCGTTCCTTGCCTTCGCCCATACACCGGCTCCACGAATTAGTGGAGAATGACAAATACGAGAAGGAGACAATCATGAAACTTGTAAAGACCAGACAGACGGTATAAGCTCTCAAATCGCGGTAGCGCACAGACGGGAAAAAAGAAGGAAATACAGGAGCCACGAACGGTTTGTGCAGAGAAACGAGACGGCCACTCACCAACTCCGCCGCCCTCTCATACCACATCTTCGCCCTCTTGTAATCCCTTCTCCCTCCTTCACCTCTCAAAGCCATTCTCCCCAAAAAAGCAGCCGCCACCATAGCTGCCTCTCTAACACTTTCCTCGCTCTCTTTACTCATCCGTCTCTTTCCCGCAATCTGACCATTCGCATCGAAATCCACAGGCCAAAGAACTCTGGCGACTTTAGTGAAATACTCTTTTGCCCGAATATAACTTTGAGGGATCGCCCCTACATACTCAGCACCGGAGCCTATACCTCCGGGTTGAGGGTAAACCGATCCTAAGTAGAATAAACGACCAAGACGGACGGTATACACGTGGGCATCACGATCGGAATGGTATTGATAATATTCTAGAATCTCAGATTCAGTTTCGCCCCTCGCTGAAGCGGAAGAAGCGCGGACGGCGGGACGATGAGCGTTGGCACCTGTTGAGGCCCATGAGGCGTGAGGACCATATATACCGCCGAATTGGTCGGAGAGACGGGATGGGGCGAGGGGAAGGGTACGTCCACCTGGAGGACCGGAGAGAAAGGTTTGGTAGGCTGATGGTCAGTGATCACTGCCAATAAAAAGAGGAGGGAGAGAAATGCGCCTGTTGCTTCCATTGCCTCCCTTTTGTTGACAAGAGAAGATGACAGAGTGATAGTTCATAGACCATATAAAGGTAACAGAACGCAAGAGAAAGAGCACATGGTGAGGATTTGAAACACTAGACGCGGAGATGAGGGAGAGCAATGACGTACCCGAGGCAGCGGCTTGTTCGTAATGACCCAAGGCGGTCATACAATCTTCTTGAACACTGATCCCCGCCCAATGACGATAGCCAAGTGCCATAGAAGCTGGTCGATAACCATTCAGAGCAGCGAAGGTGTAGTAAAGTATGGCCTTGAGTCAGCTCCGACCTGCATGCGTTGCCATACCGCAACTTCATCCCACATGTGCCTAAACCCGCCGGCATCATTGGGAACCAACAAGGATACAGAGAGTCAATGCTTAGTGGGTATGAATTGAGAGTGAGGCTCACCTTGCCTTGATCTTGCTCCGCATTGCCCAGACCAGTTGCGTGAAAGAACCCTACCATGAATTGGGCTTCTGGGTCTGAAGTGACCTCAACGGATCGCTACTCATTAGTACTGGCTATAACATATCATTCCGTCTGCGCTGACGGGAAGCAGAGGATCTCCCTGTAGCCAGTGAGGGAGAAAGAGGAGGGAGAGAGCTCACTTTGTAGGCTTTATAAGCTGCTGAAAGATCTTGTTTAAGCCCCTTTGGTGGGAACTGAGATTAGCGAGAATTCCTAAATCTCCACTTTGCAGCTAGTTAAACGGCTTTAACACTTGTCTCGGCTGTATGTAGGATGGCGTAATTTGTTAGGAGTTGAGGGAGTCTCCAGATTATAACCAGAGGGTGGAGATAGAAGAGAGGAGACGTACCATCCTCACATGTCCCCTCGCACTCCAAACTTTTCCACACCCGCCCCTTTCCGCATCCTCTAATAATGCCAGAACCCTCTCAGCCCTCTCTCGTCTAGTCTTCGAAACGAGACCTGCTCTACGTTGTGCGGAGTGTGGCAGAAAGGGGATCTTAGATAGTAGAGAAAGTGGAGAGAGAAAGTTGAGGAATCTAGGGAGGAGACGAAGGGTCGTGGAGAGTGGGCCCTGAGATCAGTCTGTTTTTAAGAATTTCCTGTTGCGGGGACGGAGGAAGAAGGAAGAAGGAAGAGGGTTGAAAGGGTGGTCGAGGGATGAGGATGAGAAAGAGGTCTTGATGTCATCTCAATGTTCACGCCGAGATTGACCCTAAAGATGATTGAGGTGTATGAGTAGAATGACGTGACCAGGTGTGACATATGCAACAGGTTTGATAGGAAGACGGGGAGACCCACTTCATGACCCCATCCTAAACCTTGTCCCCAATCTTTTGCAGCTCCTGTCCTCCCTCCAAACTTTTGATCGAGATGGGTGTTTTCTCTCGGTTGCAGAGTGGCTAGAATTCTTTCGGCTTCGTATAAAGGGGTACATACTGTTCGTGAGTACAATCACTTCATAGGTTGTCTGTCTGAATGAGATCTCAAGATTTGTGATTACTTCTTATACGGCGAAGCAGAAGGGGAAAAGGGAAGGGAGACTCACCATCCACCACTTCCCTCGATGCTATTTCTATTTCTACATTGCTATCTTCCGGGTGATTGTCAACATGAGCGATAACAAGGGAGACTAGAAGATATGAAAAGCATGTTGAGTATCTTACTTTCATACCGCTGTGCTCTCCATGTCCTGCTCACTATCCGATGGCTCTTCGTATGGACGAGAAAGCAATGGGGGGAGGTGACACGTCATCCGAAGGAATAAAGCCACGTCACACCTGACAGCTTATCAACTGCCACTTGGTTAGTCGCCTAAGCGGGCAGTGGCTGCGGGCTGCGGGGCGGGTTTGATGGAAACCAAAGCCGAAGCCGCATTGCCGGGGATCGGGACCAACCAAGGTGACGATATTCCTCCGAGCCATGAACATAAGGCACGTGGCTTTTTCTCTCCCGGTACATGTTTTCAGGGCCGAATGACCGAGAAGACAAGGGAGGGTGAGTGTACACCCCCCCTCCGCTCACTCTCTCTCTCTTTACATGCTACAGGTTGGTCACTCACCCACAGAGACACCCACCACACGGAGAAGCGGACATGGAGGTTTTCCCTATTCAAATCACTAGAAATACTCCCTGTAGCTATAAAAACATGCTGACCCCTTTGTCGTCGTTGTCATTGTTATTCTTGTTACTGATTACTACTTCTGACTGGATACAGGCTTTGTTGGGAACGACTAGTGGAATTTTGAGAGGAGAGAAAGTGAGTCGTCACTTGAACATGCTCGGACAAATCGGATCATGACCGAATACACTCTCACCCTCCTTTGAAGAAAATCAAGACGACGACGAATATCTCTCTAGTCACTTTCGCAGTGCCTCCACCAGGACCGGGACGAGGTACTACTCTAGGTACTCTACCATCAACCCACATTAGACCACACGGAAGGACTCCAACGTTGGTAGTCAAGCACAAAGAGATTATCGTGTCACTCGACCATCGGTGACTAAAAAGAGAGATATTCCATCATAAACGTCTCAGGTGACTCTCGGTCATTCACCTCTCTGACAACCTTTGACATTTAACACTGAGTAGTGGAAGAAAGCAAGAGGAGAAAGAAAGAAAGTAGTCGTAGTAGTGACAAAGCGGCGAAAAAAGGTACAAAAGGTACGTCTACTTGTCTCCCTCATCATTGATCCCATTCATCTCTTTCCTTCCTTAGTCTCATTCCTCTTTTTTCCAATGTTCCCAACACCCTGCTTTTCCCCTATTCCCACTACATTCCCATATATCCACCACGTTTGATGCATTCTTTAAGAGATGACTACCACGGTACCTTTTACTTGCCCACTCGGGGATGGGATGAAGCAATGAAGAACCCCCTTTCTCATCCTTCCCTCCGCTCATAAAACACACACTTGTGTCATTCTCAACCCCACGCCTTCCGATAAGCGGATGATTTACGATTCAAGATTCATGACCACTCTTCACGCTATTGATTTACCTCCACTCCAGCACCCTCCTTTCCATCCTGGGTGACCAGCATGGTCACTTGCTTCTCTCGTTCAATTCACCTCCGTTCCTCCGATAGAGTCCAGCCCCACATCCAACATTATTTTTTTCTACCGCTCTATTTCCTGACTCATCACTGGAAGGATCTAAGTGATTTCAACTTACGTTTTGCAGACCCTTAACCTATTTTCTTTCCTCCACCTTTTGTGTCGACGCATCAAGATTCAAAGTCGTGACGGATCTTGAAATTCTTACCAATCTTGGCAGTTTTACTCTTACGGCTCGGATCTCCTTTTTGAACCAACCTAGAACCCTGCTTCCTACACAAGAACCAAATAATTCCAACGAATATCCTCCGTCACATCTTCTCTCCTCTTTCCCTTCCTTCTCTTCGCTCCACTCACCTTTTTCCATCCCTCGGCTCAGATCAAATCAAACTCCAACATCAAAAACAACTCGGCTTCCTCGCCGTTCCTACTCTCAGCATCACTTACCACATCAGTCACCACCCCATCGACCAAGCGACCCACTGACCCACCGACCCACTGCCGCTTGACCGTTCCTGCCCCTCTTGTCTGACCACTCGGGGTGTATGTACCCAAGCCACTTAAAAGGTCGACTACCCAAAGGTGAATAAATCATGACCCTTGTCTTTACTTCATTCGACATACACTAACTAAACCATTTTCTTCATTCAACACTTTCTGCTTGTACCACTTGACTTCCTATCTTTGTTTTGTTCGAGAGTCCATACTTTTTCCTCAGAAATAAGCAGTTGGCTCAAAAAGAGAATGCGGACAGCACATCATCATCAATTATATGGTCCGCCATTTCCTTCCCCTTCCACCTCAAGTTCCACTTCTCCACATAAAGCTGTCGGTCAACCATATGCTCCGAGAGCGGCAGCTGTACCAGTCGCATCGAGTGTGATGGAGGGAGCCGCGGGTAGATACGAAGATGAAGAAGAGTATGATTCCAGTGGGGATGAAATCGAGAAGAGGAAGTTGGAGTCTAGAAGGGAAAAGAATAGAGTCAAACAGAGGAATCTCAGACGTAAGTTTTCTCTCCGACTTCCTATCATCGAATCATACTTGTATTCATCTTCACTGTCCTCATCACAGGTTCGACAGATCGGAGGGCGTGTCATTAACAAACTGGTGCCATTAATCTACAAAGGAATGGTCCGTGCTGATTCTCAGAACGTAGAGCAGAACACATCTCCGGTTTAGAAAAAACTGTTGCAGCATTACAAAAGGAGAACTCTTCTTTATCCTCTTCCCTATCTGAAACTCAATCACGTGAAAACAAACTTCATTCTTGGGTTAAAGATCTCGAAAACGCTCTATATCGAAATAATCTTTCTTCCGAAGTTGAATCCTATCGTAGAATATGGACACCGGTATTACAACGAAGACCATCCACTATGTCCAACATGACGATTAATTCAAATCCTATCGGAATGAATATGAACATGTCAATGGGAAATAATGATCCATTATCTACTCTCGCTCAAGCTGCAGCATCGATACCTGTTTCTTCAACACCTCCAATATACCCTTCATCTTCAACTCCACCCATTTTTCCATCTTCAACACCCGTATTCTCTTCTTCAACCCCCCCTGTATTCTCTTCTTCAACACCACCAATTTACTCTTCTTCTAAAACCCCCCCATTTTCTCATCGACCACCTTCGGCTAATGGTCAAAGACCAATGTGGAATCGTGCCTTGACAGGTGGGTTTCAATGGGATCCAGCTGCTGTTGATAATCCTTATGACTATAATAAAGAACGAAATGAAAGACGAGGAAAATCAAGACAAGATACGGATAAACAAGATAGAGATATATTGGAAAGAGAAAGACAAACAGAAGAAATGAGAAAAAGAAAAAGATCTTTAGGTATGGAAAGTCCTAAATTAAGATCTAGACCTGGTTCTTCATCAGGTTCCAACACAGAAAGAGGATTACAAGGATTAGGTATAGGAACAAATATAGAAAAAATCGGAAATGGACAAGGATGGGAAAGAGAAAAAGATAAAAGAGGAGATAGAGAACTTGCGATTCCTTGGGAATTACCTTCAAATCGATCAAGACCTCAAACAGCACCTTCTTCTTCAACTTCTTTATCAATGACAAGTATGTCATCTTATTCCACATTACCATCTTCCAATTTTCATTCCACTTTTTCATCTTCCTCCCGACCGAATTCATCTTCAATACCACTAAATTCAAATTCGACGATAAACAACTCTACTTCTTTTTCAGCACAAGCAAATTCCTCTTCCGCATTCCCTGGTACACTCAACTTTTTAGGTTCACACCCTACCGGATCCTCTGCTATCCTACCTTCTGTCGTTCCGGGTTCTCATGCCTCTCATGGACCAGGTTCAGGATCGACATCATCATTCTCCGGTCATTCCACTACACCTACTTCATCTTATTTCTCAACTAACCATCCTCATACAAATTCTAAACTAAGAAGAACTTCCACTTCTTATTCTCACCTTGAACAAAAAGATGGTGAGGAGGAAAATCGAAATTCGGGAAATGCTGGGGTTATTCAAGGAGTTCAAAGTTCTCAAGGGGTTTCTAAATCAGCTCCATCGCCAAGACCTATGAGGATTGAAAGTCTTTTATCCCCCGATCTAGCTGGGACGGAAAAAGATATGGAAAATCGTTCTCCGACCAATGGTGACATACCTTCAGGCTCTCCTCGTTCGACTCAAAATCAATTCCAACACCTACATATCCCTCATGATGATACAGATCCACGTTTATCACCTACTTATAACATTCATGAACAACCTATTCCTCATCAACAATCAAAACAAGATCCACACAATCACAATCATCTTCCACGTGGCGGAGAGATGGAAATTGATCAATCTCTTACCCCTACCCCTTTCTCTCCAACATCAACCTCTGTACATTCGCCGTTATCGACTCAAAAGACAGATAAAACATACGAAACTCAAACCAGTCAAGGATCTCAAACTGTCCGTTCGACCTCTTACGCAAAGTCTGAAACTCAAGACAACGCGGAAATGGATAAAAGACCTAAATGGAATTCAACTTCTCCACCTATTTACAGACCTTATCAACCTTTACCATTACCATTACCGCAACAAACTGTTAGACCTCTTATCCCTCAGAAGATACAACGTCAATGTGCTGCTTTCTCCTCAGGAGAGGGAATTAGTCCAACAGGAGGAGAACGTGATCTTGGTGGATCAAATTCGAGAGAGAGGACAGTTGGATCTGGTGAAAGTACTCCTGCAGTCAACGGAGAAATCGGAAATCTGCCATCGGGGTCGAGATCAGGAGGATTGACTCTCTCATCAGGATTTCAGAAAGAGAGAAGAAATGAACACGGTTTACCTGAAGGAAGAAGGATAGAGGATGAGGCAGGGTCTGAAAAGCGTATGGGTCAACGAGACGAACGGGGTGCAGATGGAGGAGTGGGAAGGGAGGTCGATATGGGAGAAGAATGGAGAGATCAATTGAAAAGCGAGGAGACGATAATTCCAGCTGAAGGGGAGATGAGGGTCAAGGTGGAACGGGTAGGTGAGGTGGGTTGAACGATTCTACGTCGCGCGTGAAAGAAGCAAGAACGGTCGAGCTGGATCTGTGGACGAACTTTCCTCAAGGGAGGAACAAGGAAGGAAGAGGGGATGTACAGGTCGTTCAAGGCCTCTCAGATGAGGAATGACGAGATGAGAAATGACGAGATGAGAGAGGGTAATGGAGCAGGAGACAAAGAATATTCCTGTTCATATTGTCAGAATCATATGCATCTTGTTCATCCGTAACCGTCATCTTGATTCAAATCAGCAACACTCCGGGAAAAGAAACAAAGCGGCTATTGTGCTGTAAATCAAAAGTGTTCCAATAAAAGAAGTACAAATACTCAGCCTATTCATGTTTTATACAGTATGTATGTATGAACAAGTAAACATCTTATTAGGACATAGTCTGCGGTATATCAACACTTTGACTCGTACGTCTCAAACCAATCCTTAGTAGAATTATAAACTTTGTCAAACTCTTTCCTGGTAGGTTCAACAGCTTGAACATGGCATAAATGTTGGGTCATGTTGAGTAGAGTATCTGCCAGAGTCATAGTGTTCCACGCAAGTGCTTCAAATTCCGCCAAGTTTGTCAATGCGGCACACTCATCTTTGAAGTCTTTATGAACCTGCCTAGCTTCAGTCAATGTCATTCGAAAGCTTTGACAAGAGACATTGTACGCCGCTGTGAGAGAGACTCCGGTGGTTTCGGGTCGTTGATAGAGGGATCTTCAGAAGACTGTTGAATTGTTGACGCATCAGTCGGATAGCGTTTCACTATGGTATTGGGGTTTGGTGAAGTTGTTATATTGATCAATTCTCTTCCGGATGGAGATGGGATATGTCCTGTTTCTGATGAATACTCCTGATTGGCACATTCAGGACTTTCATTTGTATCAGGATCAACTTCCTCAATGAAGGCAGTAAGTTTGGGAAACTTGAAATCACCATCATATTCATCATATCAATTTGGTAAGTGACCGGAGATCTCTGAGCTACCCAATACCCTGTATGGTGCATCTTGCTTTGGCCCATCACCCGGTTCTAAAGGTGCCCACACTTTGGGTGTTTTGTCATAATCGTCGGCTATATTCAACAAACGCTCATGTAGCGCACGGAGCTCGTTTGGAGGGTTGAAAGAATTCAACGCTTCAATCATCTCTGACGTACTCTTTCCACTGATCTCGAGGGTGTTCATGACTTGTCAGTCTCAGATGTGGAATGAAAGATCGAGATTCAAAGAGGGAAGAAGAAGAGATGAGTGGTATAAGAAGAGAAGAGTGGATATGGGGGAAAGGGGTTGAAACTCGAGTAAGACGGACTTCTTCTAGTGGCGATGCCACCGTGAGAACGTGGGAAACCTAAATGGTTTCTCGATATCCGGATCTAGCGACTTATAAGGGGATTGGATGGATCGCGGATAGTCGTGCTTTACAAAAGTGGAAAATCATCACACCATATGGGCATAAAACGTCAGGCAAGGTGAGGTATGGATAGGGAGCATGCTTAGAGGACTCCTTGTGCCAATCGTCACGGGTGGGTTGCAAGAATCTCCGCAGGTGGTTCAGTCCACTCATCATCCGAGCAGTGGTCAAGGGACATACAGATGCACAGCATTATCTGACAAGACGGACTATCTGAAGTTTTGGAACGTATTATGCATGTAGATACTACTGAATCGTCTACACCTACGAAACCCCTCAGCAAGAAAAGTTGATGGTGTTGTACAATCAGTTCCGAACAGTGAATCACACCTCAAGGGCTATCTGGTAATGTGTCCACCACTTCGTGAACTCAGCGTTTGTTCCTTTAAATGACTCGCTGGCTTGCTTGACCTCATCAACCTCTGTTAATTCATGTGTTATGTGCTGCAACCAGTCAGCCACCATTGCGGTGGCCTCTGCAGCTTTCAGAAAATCCTCGACATTCTTCTTGTCCGCTTGGTATATCTGGAGACCGGTGTCTTGCGGTTCTTGTGCCGCTTTTATCACTGCATCCATCATTTGTATGGTGAGTAGATACGCCTGTGAATCATCAATTTCAAATTGATCAAGAAATTTGGACAGTGTCGATTGGAATGTCCGGTAAGTGTATCTGGCTAAATGATGGGCGCTTTCAAAAAACGAAGCTTCTTCTGATACGAGTTCGGTGACCAGGTCGTTGTCTCCCAATTTGTAGTCTGCCAATATGTAGTCTGCCCAATCCTGGTCTTGCCATTTGTTATCCGTCATTAAGTCCTCACTCCCACTATGCTTTGGTTTACTGAAGCTAGTCTCATCCTCACAAACCAGTTCGCTCACAGTCTTTGTAAGGGAAAGATGATAGCGGGCGTCTTCAACTGTCAGCCTTTCCCCTTTTGAGTTCAACATTAGTTGAGCAATTCTTGAAGCCTTGTATGCTTCTGCTACCTGTCTGAAACTTGTGATGAAGGTATGGAGAGTGGCAGGAGGAGCATAACTGGTGAAAAGTCTAATTGTTTGATCCGTAACGCTTACAGATGACATCATGAAGATGGGCTTGCTTGCTGACGGCTACAATAGCAAGAGTGGCAAAACGGTCAAGCAATGATGGATGTGAGGGGAATATAAGTTCAGTACAGTGGGCTGAAGCTTTGGACTTGTAGACATCTTCAACCTTTGCCACAAGGACACCCTTCCTGGGAATCTGGGAAAAAATGAAGTATAGCACTGCCTTGAAGGCTGTCCATCCTGAGAAGGTGAGAGAGTCCATCCTGGGAAGGTGAGAAAGTCCATCCATTCTTCCCTTGTTGCATCTTCTAAGACTAGGAGCAAAGGAGAGATCTGACTGATGCCACACAACTGAAACCGTGGGCGTCATTGAAACGATTTTGAGATCTATATGATTGGCCCATGCGATCCAGGTGGGTGTCAGGATCACAGGTACCTGGTTACGTACGGGGGTGTAATAGTCATACTTCTTTTTCATCACCGTGTCCTCTGTTAGGTGACGTACGGAAGACGTGACACTTTGAAGCGTCATGGGTATGACCGTGACCGGCTGAAGATCCGTGTCCCACAGAGGAGTACCTGCCATGTTCTCAGATATCCTGCAGACTCTGAGAAACTTTACACCTGAGAAGAGACGGTCCCTTTCTGTTTTGTATCTGTATCAAGAGGAGATGGGTGTAGCTGATCGGGTTGTTGCGCAATAGCCTCCTCAACATCAGAACTTCCAAATGCTGTTTCTTCCTCATGCATGCATTCATGGGATCTTTTTTTGTAGCCTCTTTCCAATCATGATCAAGAGCTACAGATCCAAAGCATAGTTGATTTTGATCAGTGGTGCTGTGGAAATTTCAGATCTTCTTAGTGACATGGCCCTAGGTGTCATGACACTTTGAAGTGTCACCGAGCTTCAGCTGGTCATGATCATACCCGTGACGCTTCGAAGTGTCATGTCTTCTATACGTCACCTGACACACTCTCCTACCACCCCTATTCCATTTTCTCACACTACATGATACTTTTCCTCGATCCCCATGTCCCACATCTATTTTCGTTGTACTTTGCTCTCCTACCTCTTCTCCATTTCCGTCTTTACTCTGTCACATTGTATAACCTTGTTCCCCTTTTGATATATAAAGACACTCTATTTCCATAGTCCCCTTGTTGAATGTATTTGTCCCCTGCAAGGCCTCTACAGCCATAGCACAAGCAGCGCAGACTATCTACAACGTCTGGTCCTGACAGAGGGACGCGCACGGAGTGTTTTTCCGGACACTCCGCAAATCCTTTGAGTGCTGGATCACCAGCGTTGTGCCATGCAACAGTCTATTGGCTGCATGTGAACATGACAATTTGGTCAGGTTGGTAACCGACCACTGTCTTAGTCATAGCCGGACTTGCAGTTTGGTTGCACATAGCTTTTGGAAGTCAAAGCATGATGTGGTGGTCTACATGTTGGCAGGGAGTGTGTCAAGAACAGTGACTATGTGACCAGCGTCCGGCCGTGTAGCAATACCCTCTGTTCCTACTGAACACAATGGTCTATCAACCGGTGATGTCTACAATCACCAATTGCTGGTTAATACCCGTTGTCTTAGCTTAGCGTCACCTTCATGTCACGACTGCTCGTGACAGAGTGGGTATAAGGACGACAGCATGCGGGCTACACTAATCAGAACTTCCCTGACCTGAAGAGGACTTCAAGACAGGCTTGTTTCACATTTTCTATAGGTTGCCCACCACACATTCATCAGATCTTAATACTTCTCCCTTGGGCGCGCCGACAAGGTGAGGGAAATTCTGAGTGTGCTGCCTCATCCTGAGGTTGGTTAAGGGAATATGAGTCCATGAATGTTTGTCAATGTACGGATACCACAACCCAAGCTAGGAGTCTAAGCACAAGTCCTGGATAGAGGTTCCATATGACATATCAGAGTTCTGTGAATATGAAGGCTACTGAGAGTGTTAATGTATGAAGCAGCACTTACTGTATCATGATCCTACGCATCTCCTTGGAGGACATCTGTTTGGAGAGTCAGATGTACCCAGTACATTACAATTTTTCGCTGCCGGAGCCGGAGGCAAAGACATCAAAGTGATCCGGGATAATCGAGGGTTTCGGATGATATGATAGCAGACTTGGAAGCTGAAGCATCTATTACTGCTCTAAACCATTGGCTAGTCTGTGTTAGTATAGTCTGCACTGTTGCATCATTGAATGGATAAGGGACCTCTTTCAAGTCGTCTGCCTTGTCATCGATGTGTCGGAGCATGTCAATCATGGATGACATGAGATCAATCCAATCACCAACGTTTTCGTTGGTCACTTGAGACTGATTTCCCCATCTATCTCTGCTTGTGAGAAACATACTGTATGTGAGTGGAAGGTATTGGTCAAGTAAACCCTCCATGATATCTTGCACGTCCACATATGATTCTCCTTCAGGGCTAGACGCTGATTGTTCTTTCTTATCCAGGTTAACTAACACTGGGTCCTGAAGAATACCCCAGTCATGATCGACCAAGGTCGGTACCATAGAAGCTGTATCTGAATTGTCTTGCTCTACCAATGTAGGCACTAGTGACTCTGTGTCATCTCCAAGAGCCTCAAATTGGGCACCCTCACCTTGCACAGTGTAATTCCTGCTGTCATACTTCTTTAGGTGTGCAGTACTCCAAGGCTCCCAGCGGGTCTGCATCCAATCTTCGAATTTGTCACTGAGATCTAGAAATGAGGACACATCATCTTTGGTAGTGATTCCCAGGATCCATGAGGAGATCCGAGGCGATAGCGAGAGAAAGGATCCCGTCTGGTAGTAGCACAGCCTCGATGGTGAGTTAGAGGAAAATATCTCGAAACGGGCGATCGACCTTTCGTTCGTATTGTAGACGTGGGAAAATGACGTTGGACGGAAGGCAGGGGAGTAAGCGAGAGGGAAAAGAGGGGTTAAATATTCAAGTTGTGACGTGGTTGTCTTTATAAGCGTCAGCGTCAATTTCTACCGCAATGGATGTCATGATACTAGAATTTGGCACTCACCCTTGTCTTCCTCGGTCTGGTTCCCTTGACTCTCGGTTTTCTCTGTAGAATAAGTCTCCTGAATGGTCTTGTCCTCCCGAAGGTCGTTTCGGAGATTTGTCGAGATCATTTGGCTAAACTCCTGGGTAAGGACTTTCAGAGAGGACTCAGATATACGGTAGCCTAGTGATCAATATGGCCATTAGTGATACAGAGGGGCAGCAAATGTGAGAGATATGGAATGGAGTGAACCGAGTAGGTGAACGGAGGTCATAAATGGGGAAGTTATGTGGGTCAACATGGGATCTAGCATTGATATATGTGAGTATGAACGTCGGTCATCGTGATTGTCCGCGGGTCAAGGGGACCACGCGCGATGGCTGAAATGATAGATCGCCCTTGGGAGCGGCGTGAATGAGCAAAATGAGATGATCATTCTAGTATCTAGACACGTTATCATGAAACGGGACTGCTCGTTAGCGCATTATCTCTCCCGAATCACTGGGCGCTTGGTCATTGCTCACATCACCTTTGAATAACACCAATGTTGACTTGAAACGTCGCTAAGGGAATGAAACTTCTGATGCGGGGAGGAAGAAAGAGGAATGAAGAAAGGACCCACTGGCATGTGAACTCCGTCAAACAGATATGACCATCTCGACTTGTGATCCGAAATGCGTAATTTTTCCTTCTCATACACTACCACTTCAAACATCCCAATATACGAATATTACTATCATTTTTCCATAGTAGTACCATATTCAACTCCCAGAATGGCATCTAGCAGTCGTCAAATCCCCTCCACCTCAAATGACTTGACCGAGACCGATTTCCGACTGATCGAGTATTCCACAGCCCTGGACAACTTCAGTCAATACGTCGGACTTGATAGTGAGGAATCGAATATAGATGATGTCCGTTCTCAGAATTTCTTAGCGTTGATAAATGCTTTTCATACCGGTAACAATACGGGAAAACCAGATTATTCTGGATTGTCATCATTTGATGAAGTTGGATCACAACTTAGGGAAGTTTATCAGTTAGCCAAGACTACGGGAGATGAGGATGTAGCGAATAGTGTGAGATTGGTTTACGAGTGGGCTGGAAAGTTGAAAACTCATGACGAGGCACAGACGGGAAAGCGAAGTAGTGGAAGGAAAAGAACCAGTCGACGAAATACCAGTCAAGCCCAGACGGAGAGGGTAGGCGCGGAAGGGGCGACGGAATGGACTGAAGTCAGCTCTCAAATCCCTACGGACGACACTGTCATACAAGATGAACAAAGTGTAAGAAGGAAAGGAAAAGGGAAACATGTCTCTTGGGCATGATAGGTGCATACCGATGGAAGTCATATATGCTCACTCACTGAAGACAACCTGATCCTACTCGGGAAAAAGTAAACATGGCGGATCGAATGCTGAAAGTTGTGACTTGGAACCCCTGATATGTATAAGGTGTCAGCCTGTCTGAAAAAATATGGTGCATTCTCAATGCTGATTTTCCATCGGTATCATCACTCATCGTCCCAGTTCAGAAGCGAGATCATTGATGACTCTACTTGTCTTTTCTACTCCTTCCTTGACGACGTCGCGGTCCTGAGATCGAACTCGACCTAGTATGCGACCAAAGAACCGATCGGGATGGAACGATCTAATGGCTTCCCTTAAAGTCTTCTTAATCTCCTCACCATGGTCCTCAGCGACAGCATGTAAAAACTCTCGTACCCGGTCCTTATCCACGTCGTCCACAGTTGACTTGATTGCGCCATATACCGGCCAAGGGATATCCGAGTATCGTAATTCGGCTTCTTCGACTTCTCCTCCCGTGTCCACTAACATCTTCCACCTCGTCAAATACCTCTCTCTCTCCATTTTGCGTTCTTCTTCCACCCTCAATCCTTTCTGCTTTTCCAGCTGTTTGATTCGACGTCTTTCTTCTTTCAGTGCGCGCTCTCTGGCCCTCTCTCGCTCGGCTTCCCTTTCTTGTTTCTCACGCTGACGCCTTTCGCGTTCCTCGACCTCGGCTTTGTTCTTCATCCTATACATGCCCTCTCTGACCCATTCAGCATATTCTTCCTCCGTGAGGTCTTTCAATGGAGGCGCAGCTCCACTATCCCAACCTCTCCACATTGGCTCCGCCCGTGACGAACTAGATGGTATACCAGCAGCATCCCTATATCGACGAGGTACATGCACATCGGTGGGATACCCATAGTCTGCGAAAGGGTTACCATTCGCCCTTGACATTTCTTCTCCTGCTAACCATGCCATCCGTTCTTCCATCTCACGACGATCTATCTCCTCTTGCAGATGCCCTCCTCTGTGGTCGTGTTCGTCATCGATGGTGGGATCATTCGGTTGTGCAGGTGGAGGACGTTTACGGGGAGGTGAAGTGGAATCTGGCCGAGTGGAACGAGGAGGCGAGACGGCATATCCGTTGGCCCGAGAGATACGTTCCGTTTCTTTCCTCAGACGACGTTGTTCGCGACGATAGATGCGTTCGGCTTTGTCATGTTTCGTTTCTTTTCTATAAGAATTGAGCTGGGTCCATGTAGGATTGACGTGGTTATACATGTGTCCATCCCACATGAGATTGCTGATGTGAGATTGGTTGTGCAGGTGAGAGTCAGGGAAGTGGAAAGTCTGATGAGAATAGAAGGCTGGGGAGAATGTCACGGGCAAGGAAACAGGAATCGGGAAAGGACCCACAGCTTGATTTTCGAAGGTCGTGGAACCTTGTAGTCGTCCATGGTACGGATGATACGCCCTTTGACGTCTTGTAAATGATATAAAATCCCAATTCAGCATCGTAGCATCAGGAAGAGGGTGCTGTGGGAAAAAGTGGATGAGATGAGAGTGGTGGAGGCTCAACAGATATCGGGGGGTTCACTCGTTTCTCGTGAACGTTGTGAATCTATTCCTTGTTGAACAGCCTCCTAGGTCTGTTTGAACAGCACAAGCTCAAGGATGAGCAATGAGAAGGTTGTGCAACCAAAACAGTAAGGTAGAAAGAAGTGAGCTAGATGTCTCTCATCCAGGAGTTTGCCACCCGACTGCCTGCAGACGCATTGTGGCGGTGTGGCACTTTCGCCACCCTCACCCGGACTTGCGTCGGGACCGAATGGAGTCAAGGGTCACAAAGTGAAATCTTACTCGACGCTATAATATATCAATAGCTCTGATTCTTTCTATTCTCTAGGGAAAGGGGAAAGGAGCTTGCCAATCAGTAGTATACGGGACCGTGTTGGAAGAAAGTAGAATGGGGGAAACCTCATAGCGTGATAGGAAGAGGCAACATCAGTCTTGGCAACCAGACGGCCACTGATGTCGTTAGGGTGATGGAGAGGGTTTGAGAATGCTTCAACTATCCACCACTTTGATGCTGTGTGCATGGACCGATGTGTATCGAGAAGCAAATTTACAATTTGATCCTCAGATGGCAACTCGTGCAGATATGGAACACGGACGCGGGGAGGGGGGGTTCAATCTCCGGCAGTTTCGGCGTTAAGCTACCAAGGAAAACCGCCACGGTCAAATGTTACCTTATCGCCGATATGACTCCCTTCCGATTACCCTTCACTTCAAGCTTTTCGCTATTCTCTACCCGACCGACCTACGTGAGTGCTTTACCTTCTATCACGAGGATATAAGCTCACTCTCAGCTCATCAAGATGGTGTGTTCTTCTTGCTCTCTTCTCCATTTCCTTTCCTGTGCATCCTTGTTCCTTCGTTATCGAGATCCGCTTGACATTCCATGACAGATAGAGGAGAGATACAACTACTAACCCTTAGGCCGACAAAACCGCCGTTGTGAACCCCATGAAAGAGCTTCGTATTGAGAAGCTTGTCGTTAGTCAGTACCTTCACATGTCAGGCATCCTACGAACGCTAATCATTAGACATCTCCGTCGGTGAATCCGGAGATAGATTGACTCGTGCTTCCAAAGTGCTCGAACAACTCACTGGTCAATCCCCCGTTCACTCTAAAGCTCGATACACTGTCAGAAGCTTCGGTATTCGTAGAAACGAGAAGATTGCCTGCCACGTTACTATCAGAGGACCCAAGGCTGAGGAGGTTTTGGAGCGGGCTTTGAAAGTCAAGGAGTACGAGTTGAGGAAACGGTGAGTCACGCGTTCTTGCAATGTTCCTATCTGTTGCGCAAATGGTAAATATATCCACGTAGACGATGGGTTGGGCTTTTCTTTAAAATGCCACTTTGCCCTGAGGATCGACGAGCAGAGTGTGGATCCATTTCGGATGAGGGTAGGGAGAAGGGAACACTGACAATCAGCAACTTCTCCGAGACCGGAAACTTTGGTTTCGGTATTGAAGAGCACATCGATCTTGGTATCAAGTACGACCCTGGTATCGGTATTTTCGGCATGGACTTGTGAGCTTCTCTCATTCATCGATATAACTAATGCTGACGCTCTCTCTTTCTCCTCGATTCTCCCTGCTACATATGTCCATTGTCCATCTCGAACTGTGTCGTCACGCCCACCCAGCTATGTTGTGATGGGTCGCCCTGGATTCCGTGTCGGTCGCCGAAAGCAGAAGACTGGTCGTGTCGGTTACTCGCACAAAGTCAAGCCTGAACAGTGAGATTCTTACAGGTTCCAAGTGACACAATCACTGACTGAACAGAACCATTGCATGGTGCAAGCAGAGGTTTGACGCTTTCATCCGTTGAGTCATATCGAGCATATGCATGTACATTGGCGGAATATCTATCAACACTTAATTTGGTCACCCGTTGTGTGCTCCTCTAAACTACCCTACTCGAAACACGGGCTCCACTTTTGAGGGACCCCGCAATCGGACAGCTGACTTTGACTATGACACGTTCTACTAATTTCGCCCGAATCATAGGTCTGTTATCACACCTTAACAATACTTCTCACATTGTCACTTCAACTCAGTCACGCAGAGAACCCCATCCCCATCATCCCTCCGAATCCCAAATCCTCTCCTGCCTCTCTCTCTCTATCTCCCTCTCTTTCCCTATCCGCCCTTGCGCTTGCTTGACCGTCAAGCTGCATAATCCCCTCTTCATGTCGTCCATTCAACCATCCTTCCATCTCATCGTTCATAGGCTGGTCAAACAACGTCGGACTCTCGAGATCTCCCTCTTGTACTGGCGTCAGCATGGGACTTCCATCCCTTGAATTGGCCTGTGAACTGGTGGCGCTCATCAGAGTTTTCAGACTTGGTTTCCTGATTCGTTTCAGAGCTACCAAAGCTGGTGAAGCGTATCCCGTGGGGTAATTGGGATTATCACCGAAACTCCCCATATTCATACCCATATGAGCTCCGAAGACGGCAGGCAAACGACTTGACGGTGGTTCTTGTGACGAAGATCGCATATTGGCATTCACACCCCATGCATTGGACTTGGGTGAAGGAGGTTGTGAAAGTGCTTGAGCTCCGAACGGCGACAAAGGGGATTCAGGAGTGTGTGAGAGTTGAAACCCATCGAAGGTCATTCCGGGTGGTGCGGATCGAGGACCATCCGCATCCTTATTGGTAACATCAAGAGGATCCAAGACTGGAGGAAAAGATTGAGCTTCGTTTTTGTCAACCTCGTTCGGTGGAGTGTTGATACCTTGATTGAAATTTGGGTTGGGAAAATGTGACTGTCCCGAACCGACTCCTACGTTTATATTCAAAGGAGGTCGGGTTTTCGTACCTATCGGACTGACAGCTCGGGAGAACGGATCTCCTCCTCTACGTCCCATCCCTCCTAGGGAAAGTGGGAAAGCTTGAGTAGCAGAAGGATACATTACCCCTGGTGTTGCTGCTCCATCACCTCCATATTCCGATGCTTCATGATGAGCTGTATTCATTTGACCATTATTCAAAGACAAGGGCACATGTTCCCTTTGTCCGTTCACCCAACGGGGACCAGAGAGAGCAGAAACGAAATTGGCCATAGATCCCTGAAGTGCGGATCGTGGTGGAGGTGGGAAACCCATATTTCCGTTGAGATGGTCTTGTTCGGGATAGCCCGGATAGTTGGCAACGGGGGATTGAGAGGGAGAGAATGGACTAAAGTGTTGATTCTGTAGAGGGGGTAAGGGTGTATGAGAGTGCAGATCGTATCCCGCGTTATCCATGGGATGGTCATTTTGATGATTGTGAGGATGGTCTGAATGATGAGTATGGGTATGAGAAGAAGGGAGGGAAGACATGCTTGAACTTGATGGCATTGGATCAGGATATTTGGATGAACGTCGTTTGTAGGGACCTCGCTTGACACCTGTCTTACGAGGTTTACGGGTGGAGTCGATGCAGTCTTTTAGACCATATTTCACGCATCTGTCACATGGACTAGGATCGTCAGCGTGACGCTCGACTCTCAACTGAGGGTGATGCGCGAAATGAGGTGGTAGGATAATGACAAGACGGGGAGACACCGAGGTCGGAGGACAGAATAACTAACCGGGTGTTAGAGCACTTCTTGCACGCTTTTTGGCAATGAATACATGCGATCCTCACTTGTACTCGCTTCTTCCTCGGTGAATGATCAGACGACGGAGACGCAGGTCGGGCACCAAGCACCGCAGAGACGTCCGCGTAGGGCGAATCATGGGAAAGACTGGGATCATAATGAGAAGAATACAGACCAGTGTCGGGCTACATCTCGTGAGCCGGTGGTGCACATCGAGATTCAACAGGACTGGGGGGCATGGTTGACAGGAATGATTGTGAGGCGAGATGACCGAAAAGTATGGTTAGGAAAGAAGCACTCACAGGAATATTGAGATAGGCTTGCGCGGAATGGGGCTGTGCATGTCAGTCATGGATTTGCCACTCATACCTCACTAGATTCTGTTGGCGTGCGAAAAGGATGAGACGAAGGAAATCATAAACTCACACCTTCGGACCAAGGGTAGGCATGACCCTGCACTGGTGACGTGGGTAATGACACTGTCCCCCTACCTCTTCCTAGGTTCAACCTCGGATTAGTTGGGGGCTCATGGAGAGCGGAAGGGCGGGTCGCGAACCCGGTTTGGTCAGAGAAATGGCGCTGCATAGTCTTGCGCACACACCTTCTGTGTCTGAATGCTGGGGCTGAGTCGGAAAGGCCTATTGGGACTGAATTGACTTGCGATCTCTCAATCGAATGATCGGACTACCTTGATTCGGGGTCGTCAAAACTCCGTCGGCGGGGTATGATTCATCCACACGTTGACAACCCCCACTTGCAGTGTTTGGTCGGAGACGATTTTGATCGGGCTTGTGAGTTGATCAGCGGATCAGAGAGTGAGTGATGTCAAGTACAAGTGCGTACGACTCGGAGATAGATGATGATTTTCGAAGTCAGTAATGCAAGTCTAGACTTTAATGTCAGATGGAGCGTCGGTGAATAGATGAGTGGTGGATAAGACGGACAAAGCTGGGTGAGAAAGAGGGGAAGAAAAGCAACTCCGCTTTCAAATCCCCTTCCTCTCTCCTCGCACCCTGGGGGAGTGTGTGAGCTATTGGACGAGTCTGGGCATGGTGTAGGAGGGAGGGGCGGTTGAGACGCGTAAGAGGAGGGTGAAGGGACGTCCTTTCATCGAGATGGGGCAGAGTTCAAAAAGGATGGAATGGGGCTGTGATTCATGGGATCGATACAAGTTTCGATGGTTCGACATGACGTGTCATTGCGATTTTAGTAAAGAGTGGTCAAATTTGGAAGAGATGAGCTCGGGTGGACTTTTGAGATGAAAGCACAAGCCTATTGCGGTACATGAGGCGATGAGGGGCCAGAAGGACACGCCTGATATCAGCTTTGTTATCAATGACATGTAGATGGGATGATAAATCGATTTGTGAGGATATCAGATGTCCGGTGAGAGCATCGACCCCATCTCTGCCTACCAACACAAGTCGGAGAGACGAGGAGAACGGGGCCTGGGTCAAGAGGTGCCAATTCGGGCAAAGTTGCCACTCTTCATTTATCCACAAGGGAGGGAATGATGAAAGTAAGAAAGGAGAGGGAGTAAAGAGTATCATTGAGGTAAAAGCAGCGATAAACCCAAAGCAACTCACCTCTGGTAACAGGATCACTCTTGAACAGATGATGGTACGAGACGAAAAGTTTCGAAGGAAACGAGCGAGGGAAGCCGCAGTGATAAAACCTATACAAAAAAACCACGTCACCAGGTCGGCCACAGTGTGGCATGTGGCTACGCCACTTTCAGAGTGAAAAATCCTTCTCAACCATAATGTGGAGATGTATGACCAAAAGATGTGGAAGGGAGATATCATGCATGTATGTTGTGTAAGGATACGCTGATACATGAAAGATTGTCTTTGTCCAAGATTTAAACCACTCAACCTTCACCTCTAAAAACCTATCCGCCGACAGATGATGAACATCTTACTTCTTCTGGTTAGGCTTCAAACAAGGCCGAGCGTGCACGGTCTGCTTCTTGGATGGTTACCTGATTGGGTAAGTCATCGAGCCGAAATGAGAACCCACAAAGGACGGGAATTCCAATCGATCTCGGGGTTTGCAACGACACGTAGTTCTCTTCTCTGCATCGGCTTCGAAACGTTGACCAAGATCCGGATTGGAGAAGGGGTTTTTGATAAGAGAGCATATTTTCTCTCCTTTCTCCTATTAGACCACCATGGACTACCAGAACTTAGCGCAGGGGTCCGAACGGGGTCGAGATCTGGGGATTTAGACTCATCGCGTGCGAAGATCCTCCGATGTTCACCGCTTATAAACGGTTTTTGATGGTCTACGATCCACTCTTTATGATATTTTGACTACACTTACCAAGCCAATGACAAGAACCACTAGACTCAATGACTCGCCAACACCCACACTTATTGGGACCGATGAGTTCACGGCGCTCGGACCTGAGGTACAATCCTTGTTAGCGAAATGCGTACCAAAGCTCGACATAGCATTGACGGACATTCACAGAGCCTGCTGGAACCGTCTCACCCGTCGCGTCCCAGCTGCTACCAATTCTGTGGAGGAAGCCCGAGTGAGTCTCGCCAAGGTTGATCTTGAAACCGCTCGGAAAGGTCTGGACAGCCTGTCCTATGGTGTCGCTTCTGCCCAATATCCAACTAATGATGAGCTTGTTTATCATCTTGAGTCACTTCGGGAGGTTTCTTTGGATCCAATGATCGGACCGATGCGCCCGCTGCTGAATGACGAGCAGCTATCACATTTGTTGATCACATCATGGGCAAAGGCAGTCAACCCACTTGTTGATGGTCTTATCGAGCTGCTGGGCTCCGACCCTGACCCCGAATTGGTCAGGCGGCTTCTTGGGATTGATGTGGAGGAGGACAGCGACAGCGACGATAGTCACTCTACAATCCGAGGTTGTACATACCAAGGAGGGAAAAAAGGGGATAGTCAACCATAGCATCTACATAGACAGGACTACCTCATCACCTGAGCTCCGATCATAATGAGGGAAGGAGCCCGTACCTCACACATTACCAACTCCGTCAGTCACGGCCTATACTGTACATTTCAGCAAATGTACTGCGTGGGCGTCAAAAGAGCTTGAGAAACCTTCCCATAGGATGGAGCTGAGAAGAATCTGCTATGGGATGAGAAGGGAAGCCCTGGATGGATACTGTACATGACGAAATGAGTGCTGAGGCTGTCATGAGTGAGTATGTATGTAAATAGCTCTCACAACACCTGAAAGTTATTCTTGCCGGGCGGAAGAACGATTCGAGTCTGATGCACCGAGGTGCAACGTCGAATGAGGGGGAGAGTAAGATGATCCGTTAAGAGCATGTCCTCGAATGAGTAGAATGCGGTAATCATAGATCCCATGCACCTTAGAGAATGTGGACCAATCGACGGAAGTTTCATGAGTATCATTGTGAAATGGGAGCTGATCAGGAGCAGACTGGGTTGCCCCACGCCCAAATTCCACTGACAGAGATGAAGGAAGCACCGTCCTGGATCAACTGAGCCCGTGCCATGATCTGTTCCTGCTGGGACTAGTGTATCTTCAGTGTTCCTAGCCCAAGTCATGTTCCTGGTATCTGTTGGACCACACAAGCATGATCAGGACGAAGAGGTGTTCCTGCTTGCTGGTAATTTGATGAACACAGAGGGGAAAAAGTCAGGTAGCGATTCGAAGACGGATCGAATTCAGGTGAATCCGCGAAACCGATATGAGTGGAGGTCTAACTATCACCAGGGATCGGCTAGCTTCTCACAATTTTCCTCGTCCGATACGCTCCATTCAACCTTTCCACGGAAGGCGTCTTGAAGTGGTTTCTAAGTCCGCAGCTTTATCTACAACTATCATCTCAAGCTTGTGAAGTCTTCATCTTTCCCCCCATCAACAGACATACAATACAGTAAATCATGAGTGCTGCAAAACCAGGAGCCGTAGCCAGCTCAAATAGCTCTGGAGGAAACCGGAACGCACCTTCCCTTACATCTCGTCAGGGAAATCTTAGCAGTAACTCCCAATGCTCCGCTGTTTCTTCAGGCTCAACCTCAGACCCTACTCCCCCTTCTGATCCTCTGGTAACCTCCGAAATTGGTCGTCCCACGGATAGTTCCGCCATCCTTTCCGGCATCGGGCTCGGACTCGAGTCCATGAGGGACAAAATCAAAAGGCAGGAAAGCGCATTCTACTCTGCTTTGCAAATATCAGAGCAAAACCCCGATTTGGTGGAGTGGTCAGGTTCCCTGAGGCGCCTTCATGTAAAGGCAAGTGAAGTGACCAAAAGAGCACTTGACAGCCTCACACAATGGGAAGGCCTCATGGTAGGGTCGGTGAACCTGACATCGCCCTTAGACAAGTCTGTAGCTCAGGCAATGTCTTCAAAAGCAGCCAGGCGTACTTTGAACTTCTTTGACGAGTGGACTAGCTATGGCATGGCCTGGAATTCCATGCTGTACAGGTATCTGAAGATTGATCCAGCATCTGCAAAGAACCTGGATGAGCATATTGGGCCACAGCAGTATCACCTAACAAACCCATCTGATGTAGAAGGATATACTTACACACACAACAATCCTGGTTGGTGTGTGGATTTGGCACGCAGGTCAAGGTAGTTGTCACAGCCGTCGAACAACTTCTCTCTAACGGACCGACGGTCGACGAACCTCGGCTAACTTGGCGCTTCTAGGTCGGTGTCTCACCCAACCAGGAGGGTGCAGACGTCGAAAGGAGTGTAACTACGGCGTACTTCGGCGTAGTTACTCTAACTGGGGTTTTCTCTGATGGTGATGTATCTTAATTTGTATGTAGCTATCTCTATCAATCTTTCACTACTGACAACAATCAAGGATCGCTGAAGAAGTTCAGCGATCTGTGAACTATCTATACTTCCCCTCTCTTCTCATAGAACGTCCCTCAACTCCTGCACAGCCTCGCGCTCAGTCCTCTTTGCTCGCCGTACCTCGCCATATCCCCAATATCCTACTCCGCTCACCTCAACTAACTTCGCCTAACTTCGCCTAACTTCCCCTGCTCTGCTCTCCCTCGGTTCCCCTCCTCTAACTTTGCCGTAGTTCTCCGCTAGTCGGGGTTATCATGACAAATACCCTCTAGGATCTCGTATCTTCGCCGTAGTCGGTCTCAGCGGTGCGGGTGGTGGTTGGTGATGGTGAAAGGAGGGTCGGTGATGGTGGTTGTCAGGGATGTCACGACATGGTTCGTGACAGTCGCCCCCTCCTTAGGCGTGAACGTCCTCGTGAGCTTGTATGCATGTAATGAAGAAAAGACACTCAGCAGGTTGCAGGAAAACCATCGTTCATATACCAGCTATTGGTAGGTGGTACCGTTGTTTAATGGTAATGAGACAGCTAACTTCGTCGGAGTTCATCGTGGTTGTTTGTTGTTACCCGTGATAATTACGTTGTAAGTGAGACAGAGGATTTGGGGTACATCAAACCTCGTCGAAGTTCGTCAGTGTATTCCTAACTTATATGAATGTGAGACACGTAGCGTGGGAATTGTGATCGTCGCCACGTTGTTTGTTGTTACTGAGACACCTTGTTATGCGAAGTTACCAGTGCCCTGACGACGAGTAGTCGTGTCAGTTATACTAAATACTCAGTACTTCGGCCCACTTCTTCTTCTTCCCCAGTACCAATCCTAAATCGTACTATCATCCTCTATCAATTCTCAGCCTTTACCTTACCGAACTTAACAATTTGATATATTTTAACAATATGAGCACTCGCCCACAACTCGACACTTATCAATCCTTTATGGATCGTTTCACCGCTGCCCGTAAGTTCACTCGTGCTGATCATAAGCTAGATTCTTGCTGATTATCTTAGTCTCCCAGCAGGGGAATTCCCCCCGCCAAGTGTCGTCCATGGGCTTTGGAGCCCTCGCCATCACCGATGGTTCGCCGTCTGTCGCGGCCCCTCCCGCCGTTGGAGCTCCTGCTGCGGTTCCTTCTCCCGCCGTGTCCCCCGCTATGGCTGCGATCCCTCTCTCCTCTGGCCAACAGGAGGTCAGACCTGCTCCTGTTGGCCCTTCGCAAGCTTCGGGTCAGTCTGCTACTGTGGTGGGGATTGATGATGACGACGAGGAGATGGATGTTGTTGATAGTGATGAAGAGATGGGTGATGTTGTTGATGGTGAGGAAACGGGTGGTGCAGATGATGAGGAAGGAATGGGTGATGAAGATGAGGAAATGTATGACATTGATCTTGGTGACCAGGAGTTGTTTGAGGATAGGGATGGTTGGTTGGCCGAGGTAGGGGCATTTAGTCGTACGTTCTCAGTTGTATTATCTGTTCGTGAGTGCTAACATGGACAGCTGTCCGCGTCATCAAAGGATCCCCCGAGCTTTGTGTCACAAACTACGTCGTGACACCTCGATTACTCCACCAACAATGACCCTCCTTTGGCCATCAAAACCCCATCACGCCTTAACCTCTTTACTCTACACGTAACTCAGGACTTCTGACACCAAGTACGGCGAAGTTAGACGGAGTTAGGCTAAGTAGGGACAATGGGAGCAGAAGTGCGGCGATGTTAGACGACGAATTAT